ACCCCGCCCCTCCCCCCGGGACCCCCCGGGCTGGGGGAGGGGCCGCGAGCGCACCCGCAGAGATCGGGGGTGACCCCCGGGGGGGTCCGAGCGTCCGAGCCTCCGTCTGTCCGTGTGTCCGAGCCTCCATCTGTCCGTCTGTCCGAGCCTCCATCTGTCCGTGTGTCCGAGCCTCCGTCTGTCCGTGTGTCCGAGCGTCCGAGCGCCCACCGAGCTCCGGTTCCTCAGGGCCCCGCTCCGGCCGCCGCCGCCGCCCCGGTGCAGCCGTGCCCGGCCAGGTGCCGCCGCAGCAGCGCGGGGCGGGCGAAGCGGCGGCGGCAGCGGGGGCAGCGGCGGCGGCGGCGGCTCCGCTCGTGCTCCCGCAGGTGCCGCGCGATGGAGCCCAGGTAGAAGAAGCTCTTCCCGCAGCGCTCGCAGCGGTACACGTCCTCGCCCAGGTGGCCGCGCCGGTGCTCCAGGAGGTTGGAGCGGAACCGGAACGTCTTGCCGCAGGTCCGGCAGCGGCGCGGGCGGGCCGGGCGGTGCCGGCGCTGGTGCTCGGCCAGGCCGGCGGCGTGGGCGCAGCGCTTGGCGCAGAGCGGGCAGCGCAGCGGGCGCTCCCCGGCGTGGCCGGCGCGGTGCTGCCGCAGCGCCCAGGCCCGCAGGAAGGCGCGGCCGCAGGTCCGGCAGCGGAACGGGCGGCGCCGGGCGGGGCAGCAGCGCCGGTGCCGCCGCAGCAGCGCGGCCGCCCAGAAGCGCCGGCCGCAGGCGCCGCAGAGCGACGGGCGCTGCCGCAGGTGCCGCCGCCGGTGCAGCAGCAGCTCGTAGGCCCCGGAGCAGCGCTGCCCGCAGGCGCCGCAGGCCGGGGGCCGCGCCCCGGCCAGGTGCACGTACTTGTGGGTGACCAGCGCCAGGAAGCGCTTGAAGCTCTGCCCGCAGGTGCCGCAGGTGAAGCGCTCGGCGCTGGGCGCTGCCGGCGGCTCCTCGGGCGGCGCCGCCGCTTCCCCGGGCGCGGCGGGCACGGCCCGCTCGGGCGCGGCCGGGTGCACCAGGCGGTGCCACACCAGGTTCTCCAGGAAGCCGAAGACCTGCCCGCAGGAGTCGCAGCCGTGCGGCCGCTCCGCGGGGCCCGCCGGGGCCCGCAGCAGCTCCGGGAAGCGCTGCCCGCAGGAGCCGCAGCCCAGCGCGGGCGCGGCCGGCTCGGGGGGCCCGGCGGGCAGGCGGTGCACCTGCCGGTGCCGCGTCAGGCTCTGCGGGTAGCCGAAGGTCTTTCCGCAGAGCTCGCAGCGGTAGGGCCGCTCCCGCGTGTGCACCACGCGGTGCTTGCGCAGGTGGAAGGACTCGCGGAAGCGCTTCCCGCACACGGCGCACTCGTGCGGCTTCTCCCCGGTGTGGATGCGCTCGTGCCGCCGCAGCGTCTCCCGCCGCCCGAAGGCGCGCCCGCACACCCCGCACCCGAAGCTGCGCCCGGCGGCGCCCGGGACGCTCCTGGCGGCGGTGGCGGCGGTGGCAGCGGTGGCAGGCGTGTGGGCGGTGGCGTTGTCGCCGGCGTGGGCGCGGCGGTGGCGCAGGAGGCTCTGCGGCGCGGCGTAGGCTTTGCCGCAGATGTCGCAGCGGTGCGCGGGGCGCGGCGCGCCGTGGCTCACCTGGTGCCGGAGCAGGTAGGCCGGGTCGCGGAACTCCTTCCCGCACACCGGGCACGGCACCCGCCGCGGCCCCGCGTGGGTCTTGACGTGGCGGGTGAGGCTCTCGCGGCGGTTGAAGGCGCGGCCGCAGGCGGCGCAGGTGAAGGGCTTCTCGCCCGTGTGGATGATCTGGTGCTGCGCCAGGTGGCTCGGCTTCTTGAACACCTTCCAGCACAGCGGGCAGGTGAACGGGCCCTCCGCGCCCGCCGCCGCCGCCGCGCCCGGCGCCAGCGGCACCCCCACGGGAGCCAGCGGCACCCCGCCCGGAGCCAGGATCACCCCGCTGGGCACCGGGATCACCCCGTTCGGCACGGCCACCGTCACGGCCGGCGCCACCAGGTTCACCCCGCCCGCCACCGCCGGCACCCCGGCGGACAGAGCGCCCACGCCGTTGGGCACGGCGGTGACGGCGGGGGCCGCGCCCGTCCCGGCCGGAGCGGCAGAGACCGCGCCGTGTCCCGCACCGACCCCGCCGGGCCCCGTGCCCACCCCACTGGGCCCTGTACCGACCGCACCGGGCCCCGCACCGACCCCGCCGGGAGCCGCACCGGAGCCGCGCAGGGCGCTGGCCCCGCCGGCCGCGACGTTGGTGACCGCGTTAACGCTGAGCACCCCGCTGACCGCTCCGGCCACCGCGCTGACCGCTCCGGCCACCGCGCTGACCCCGCTGACCCCTCCGGCCACCGCGCTGACCCCTCCGGCCACCGCGCTGACCCCGCCGGGCGCCGCATTCACCGCCACGGCCAAGGCACCGGGCAGGGCGGCGGGGGCCGCGCTGAGCCCGTTGGGCACGGCCGGAGCCCCGGGGCGCGGCGGGGCCGGGGCAGGGACCGGGACCGGAGCAGGGACAGGCACCGGGACCGGGGCGGGCTCGCTGTCGGCGGCGCGGTGGCAGCGGCGGTGCCGCACCAGGCTGGAGCCGTGGCTGTAGGCGCGGCCGCAGGTGCGGCACTCGTAGGGCCGGGGCTCGGGGGGGCTCCCGTGCACCTGCATGTGCTGCACCAGGTGCGAGGCCTGGCGGAACGCCTTGGGGCAGGCGGCGCACGGGAAGCGCCGCTCCACCAGGTACTTGAGGCGCCTGAAGTAGCTGCGCTCCTCCCTGGGCTCCGGGGGCCGCTTCAGCCCCCCGAGGAGGTGCTGGTGGCCGGACAGGTCCACGATGCCCCACTGCGGAGCGGGGAAAGCGGCCCCCGCCTCCAGCAGCGGCTGCGGAGGGGGCGGCAGCGGCGGGGCCGGGAACGGAGCCCCCCCCAGGGACCCCTCGGGCTTTTTGGGGTGCGAGGAGGAGGAGGAGGAGGAGGAGGAGGAGGAAGGGGGAACCGCGGGCGGCTCGGGTTTGTGCTTGGGGAGGGGCCCGCGGTCGAAGGGGGGCGCGGCGGCGGGCGGGGGGTACTCGAAGGGCCCCGGGGGCAGCGGCAGCGCCTTGCCCGGGGGCTCGAAGGGCTCGGGCGGCTCCGGGCGCTGGTGCGTGAGGAAGTCCAGGAAATCGAACGGGTACGCCGGGAAGTGCCCGCTCTCGTCGCTCACGTTCGCCTCCATGGCCGGGGGCGGGGTGCCGGGGGTCCCTGAGCTCCGGGGCGGGCCCGGGGGTCCCTCAGCGCCCGGCGGGCCCCGGGGGAAGGGGCGCTCACTCACCTGGGGGGGCCCGGGGGGCCCGAACCCCGCCCG